AGGTGGCCGAGCCGTGGTCCGCCCGACAGCAACGCCAGCTTTCGTTCATCTCCTAGTACACCACGGACATACGACACATCGCTGGCAAGGCTAACGTGGTCGCGGACTGCCTCTCCAGAGCGGTCATCGGAGCTGTGCAGCTGGGCCTTGATTACCTCCGCATGGGCGCTGACCAGGCCTCTGACCACGGGGTCCAGACCCTCAAGGCCTCGGTCACGGGATTACGCCTGGAGGAGGTCACGGTCGGTGACTCTGGCACAAAGCTGTGGTGTGACGTCTCCACGGGCCAGCCTCGACCGCTGGTCCCTGCGGACTGGCGTCGACCCGTTTTTGAGGCAGTTCACAATCTTTCCCACCCCGGTAGGAAGCCGTCCGTGAAGTTGTTGTCACAGAAGTTCGTGTGGCAGGGGCTTAAGAAGGACGTGAGGTCCTGGGTCGACTCGTGCGTGGCCTGTCAACGGGCCAAAGCCCACCGCCATACTAGGGCCCCTTTTGAACTTTTTGCGGTTCCTGAGAGGAGGTTTGACCATGTCAATGTCGACCTCGTAGGTCCGCTTCCCCCCTCTCACGGTTTCACTTACCTGTTTACGATGGTGGACAGGACGACCCGCTGGCCCGAGGCCGTTCCCCTCGCCTCGACATCAGCTTCCGACGTCGCCCGCGCTTTCATCGGCACGTGGGTGGCGCGATTCGGGACCCCGTCTGACCTCTCCTCTGACCGCGGTTCTCAGTTCACCTCGGAGCTGTGGAACGCTGTTCCTGTGGGTTTGGGGGTCAAGCTGCACCGCACCACTGCATATCACCCCCAGGCTAACGGATTGTGTGAGCGGTTTCACCGGTCCATGAAGGCGTCACTGCGTGCCGGCTTGATAGACGGCAACTGGGTGGATAAGCTCCCGTGGGTTATGCTCGGCCTCAGGTGTGCCCCCAAAGAAGACCTGCAGTCCTCGTCGGCGGAGCTCGTCTATGGTCAGACGCTACGGGTCCCTGGGGAATTCATTCCCACCGCCACTGTGCCCTGGTCTGCAGCCGGGCAGCGCTCCTCCCTGCTGGAGACCGCCGGGACATTCACGCCCGTCCCCACGTCGCAGCACAGCAACCCAGCATTCCGGGTGTCCCCCGGATTACGGTCGGCCGATTTCGTTTTTATTCGCCACGACGCCCACCGCGGCCCCCTGCGGCCCCCTTACGACGGTCCGTTCAGGGTCATACGTCACGGGGACAAGAGCCTGGTGGTGGACGTTGGTGGCAGGCCTGAGACTGTGTCCGTTGATCGGATTAAGCCTGCTCACGTGGACATTTCCAGGCCGTTGGAGTTGGCTCTGCCCCCACGTCGGGGCCGCCCTCCCATGGCCTGCCCCCTGTGGGGATGCCCTCGTTGGCGCCCCTGCCCTCGCCTGCGGCCCCGCCCTCCTCGGCCCCTGTGGTCCGTACGCGCCGGGGTCGGGTGGTACTTCCTCCCAGGCACGAGGATTTTGACTATGGGTGAATACTGGGGGGGCTTGTGTGGTGATTGACATTATTCACCCACGGATCTATGGGTTGGGGTATTGTTCCGCACGGACATTTGAGTGAGCCGGACTTCCTGTTTCCGCCGGTCTTCGCTTCCCGGGCATGAAGTTGTTTACATGTGTGTTCCGATGCTAAATAAAAGTAGAGCTTGTAACTTTGATACCCCGCCTCCGACTCCCGTCTCTCGGCACCACAACAGTTTATATTGTGTATCACCTTTAGCTTAAAAATACATAGATGTGTTTTTTTGATCTATAAAATAAATAGACAGACACTTTATCAATCCCAAATTGGGAAATTATTTAACAGCAGCAGTGTGTTCAGGTATTAAAATATGTAAAGTATGAACTACACATCACAAGTATAATGCACTGCAATCTATAAAATAAGTCCGATATGTTCATGAAAACCCCCCAGGAGACACCAACGTGGCCGAGTGGACTCCGGAGTTTGCTGCATGAGTTGCACTGTATGATCTGTGGTGTAGTGGGCTGCCACTCAAAAGCTGAGTAGCCAATGGGGACACACCCCTGAAAGTCCCGCCCACCTGGGATGTTTGTGTCAAAATCTCAAACAAAAAATGAGGGAGCGCAAACGAGAGAGCTGCAGCGAGAACAAAAGTCTGATCATTGAGAAAGAAGAAACAAGAACTGCAAACAAAAACCTATGTTAAAACAAAGAAAAAATACTTATAGTTTACATGATTACACAAATGATTTGTTTGCAACTTATAGTTTTATTTTTGAAATTACTTTATTTTGCTTGATTTAGTTTTTTTCTTCTTTTAAACTCATAGTTTTGCTTTATTCTGAGAAAGTGTTGCTTTATCTTTATGATACAAAACTAATCCCATAGTTATTTAGTTTGCTTGTGTGTGTATTTCATTTTCTTTATTTAGAACCAACCCAAATGTAACAAGATAGGAAAAACAATAAGTTTACTTGTATTCTTTGCTCTTCACAGATGGATTAAATTACTAATCTTTTTTTTATGATGAATTTATTTTTGGTGAATAAAAATGTCTACACTTTTCTGATGCCTAAGGGAAACAAGTTGAGGCTTTTTTTGTAGGCTTCGTTCTTAATTTTTATAAATGTATTCATACAAAATGAAAATAAAGGACAGTAATACTTGTTCAGTGTTGGAATACAATACTGCATTGATTCGAAGTCACAAAAATAAACTGCATAAAATGTATAACATTATTCTCATAAAATAGGAAAAAAATAAAAAGGGGTGTGTCCTACTTGTCCAGTGTAAAAGTACCATGCAGCATTGACTTATATTCATAGGGTTAAATGCATATAAGCTATCGGAAAAAGGAGCAAGTTGTGAGCTATGAGAGCTATTTAATTTTTTTTGTTGGGAATTTTCTAAAAAAGTCCTGAATTTTCATAACAATATTCATATAAAATACTCAAATCAAATACAAAATAAGTGTGCCCTTGATGTCCAGTGTATTACTAAAATGCTCAAATGATATTTAGCAGAATCATAACTGCTACACTTCTATTAGGGTCCTTCAACCCTGACGTTGTCTGTGCTCCTGATTCAAACAAAAGGAACAATTAGCTGGAACCTAATAACTTTTATATTAATAATAATGTTTTTTTTTGGGGGGCCCCAATGGCATTGACCGGTTCACGCAGTCTTCAAAGTAACCAAGTAACCTATGCATTTGTAATTTGTCTGTCCAATGACCTTGCTCCCTTTCATGTCATGTGATACTTTGCATGACGAGCAAACCGTTTAATCAAACTGTACTGTACTGTGTAGCTAGCAGCAGCAAGTTCGGCAGCATTATAAAAATGTAATAGCTTGCATTTATAATGTACAGCAAACCAAAGCACAAGAACGGCGCTCAAAAGAGAAAGGACAAGAGAGAGTGTATGTCCGTGCGTGTGTGAGCGCATCAGGTTTGGGGCGATGGGGGGGGAGGGGGGGCCAAAATGGGGGGCCCAAAAAAATATTTGCACCGGGGCCAATCACAACTTTGTTACGCCACTGAGCAGAATCCATCGATCGAAAAATGAATTATGGCCAGTTTAAGTACTTATATGGAATTGTCAATCAACCTTTTTTTACAATTATGAGCCTCACCTTTGTTGTTATAATCATTTTAAACCCAGATCCCCCCCATGGATTGCATTATATGTACAGCAACTGAAGGTACACCTAATAAATGGGATATGTGCCAGATCTGACAGCGTGCAGTATAGATGTGTCTATATTTCCCTGTCTTTCCTTGGAGCGTCTACACTGGTCTGGACCTTTGCTGCAGCGGTGTCATCAGTCATGTAAATTGGCCGAGAGACAAGCACTTTATAACACTTAGAGGAGGGAGGCGTTGGCCGGACAGGGCCTGGGCGGCTGAGTAATACCCCTGGACTCCTGGCTCTGTGACTTCAGGACTTACTCCTCGATTACAAAGGCTTGTTCTCCATCTTTGTACTCTTTAACCATGGACATTTATTAAAAACAAGATTGCTGACAGTCCCATATAAGTATGATTTATGGGAGCGAGATAAAGTTTACAATTTCACGCTCACAGAAAATGTCAATTGGCTGTTGTGATAAATGGAGGAAGAGTAATCTGGGCATTGCTTTTGCATACATGCATAGCTATGTTATATATTTCAAATGGCATATTATGGCTAAAATAGAGTAGAACTACCACAATGAAAAACATAAGATACACAACAATTACGAGGGTTATTCACTCAGAGGGACAGAGAGTAGGGAGTGGGAACAGAGTGACATTAAGAGACAGTTTCTGTTCCATTACTGGCTCTGCAGCCGTGAAAAATCCTGTATCTAATACCCTCACAGCATTCATCAATTTCCAATTAGAAATCCAGACTTTAAAAAAAAAAATGGGAAAGTCACCTAAAGGTCACCGGTGCTGATGAATGTGGCCGTAGAAAGGAACATAAGGTCAGACAATATGTAAGGACAGTGAGATTTCTGTGCTAACGCTAAAGCACTGCCTGGCATTGCTGTTCAGTCATCAGACCTTAATGAGGTGAGCACTGAGAAGGAGGAAGAAAAGTAGAGAACTTTATTATATACAGCAGGCGGAATTGGCTCCCTGGGAGAATCATTGATGAAAAAAGAGCCCTTCAAGTAAAGTAATGAAGGTAGAAACTGGATCATATTATGGGGAAAGAAGGTGATGTAGGAAGCGTGTTGGAGCGAGACAGCGCAGCCATGCTTTCTTTATCTAGCCCAGACTAACTAAGACGTCAGAGCAAAAATTGGGAAATATGTCTGCGTGAGCCTTGAAATGCAAAGAAGGAATGTCTTTCCCTAAGACAGAATTCTGTGAATACAAAATTAATGCAATTGCAAAACGAGTCACCTGCTCTCCACCAAAAACTAGGTTAACTCTCTTCAGGTTTGCGATTTCCACAAACTTTGATTCTTTCAAGCTATACAGAGATAACGATTATATAATTTTTGCTGTTCATGTACTGTACGGCATGCCTCACCTGAACAAAGGGCACCCCGGAGCGCTCGATGGCCACCACCCCCACGGTCTGGCTGAGCTCCAGGTCCAGGATGAGGATCTCTCTGGGGTAGAGCAGCAGCATGTGGTTCCTCTTGGACGGCAGGTAGGACAGCTGAAGACAGTCGTTCAACGTCACCGCCTCCGCACTGCAGCGCCACAGGAAGAGGAGGACCGGGGGATGCACACAAAGTAGAAACATCTAATTAATTTCAGTGTCAGATCATCTGAACTGGGAAAAATGTTCTCGAAAAAAAGGGTTAATGATGTATTAATGTATTTCCTACACGTTGGCCATTCTTGTTTTAGACACAGCAAACAAGACATGTTTGAAGAGACCAAACTTTTTTTATTAATAAGTAGGAAAATAAAGTTTGTCTTATTCAAGACTGAGCTCCTCTTCCTTCCGGGAAAAGATTGTCCCACTCTTGACCTAACAATCAACATCGGCACCTCAGTTGTTTCCCCGACTCAGACTGCAAGGAATCTGGGTGTGACCCTAGATAACAACCTGTCCTTCACTGCAAACATCGCTGCTACAACCCGTTGCTGCAGATACACGCTTTACAACATCAGGAAGATACGTCCCCAGCTGACACAGAAAGCCACGCAGGTTCTGGTCCAGGCTCTCGTCATCTCACGCCTAGACTACTGCAACTCCCTCCTGGCTGGTCTACCTGCATGTGCCATCCGACCTCTGCAGCTCACCCAGAATGCAGCGGCTCGTCTGGTCTTCAACCTTCCTAAATGTTCCCACACCACTCCGCTCCTCCGCTCCCTTCACTGGTAACTGCTAGAATCCACTTCAAGACACTGGTACTTGCTTACCATGCTGCGAATGGATCTGGCCCTTCGTACATCCAGGACATGGTTAAACCGTACACCCCAGCACGTGCACTACGCTCTGCATCAGCCAAACGACTCGCTGCACCCTCGCTGCGAGGGGGACCCAAGTTCCCATCAGCAAAAACACGTGGGTTTGCTATCCTGGCTCCAAGATGGTGGAATGAGCTCCCCATTGACATCAGGACAGCAGATAGCTTGCACATCTTCCGGCGCAGACTGAAAACTCATCTCTTTCGACTCCACTTCGAGCGATAGATTTATTAACAAAGCACGTATATACTAATAAAGGACTGGCTTATCTAAAGCCAGTTGAGTAGCACTTGAAATGTTTGGCTCTATGAAACCTGATGTACTTATATGATTCTGTTTTCTTCAAGGTTGTGTCTTCCTGGTCGAATGTACTTATTGTAAGTCGCTTTGGATAAAAGCGTCAGCTAAATGCAAATGTAATGTAATGTAATGTAAATTCAGCAGACACATCGCCAAAAAAATATAATAAGCCTCTGCTACAACAGCACACTTATATGCAAACACACCAATGTGATGATGGATTTAAAACAAGCTTTAAAGAGGAAATATTATGCTCATTTTAAGGTTCCATATTGTATTTTGTGTCTCTACTGTGACATGTTTCCATGCTTTAATGTTCAAAAAGGACTTTATTTTCCTCATACTGCCTGTGCTGCAGCACCTCTTTTCACCCTCTGTCTGAAACCAGAGCCCAGTCTGCTCTGATTGGTCAGCTGGCCGGCTCTGTTGTTATTGGTCAACTGCTTAGCAATGCCCGCACCTTAGCCTATCGTATACAATGTGTTGGAGAGCCAGCCAATAGAAGAGCAAGCGTTACATAGTGATGTCATCAAGTTACAGAAGTAAACAAAGGACTAAAATCGAGGCGTTTCACGCAGGGGGAACTGCAAAAACTCCCTCTGGAGGGAACTTGGACTTTGTCAACTGAACTTTGGTATTTCAGCCTTTACTGAACATTCAACCACACAAAAACATATATAACAGACTACAGGAGGACCTCTTTAATAAAAACAACTGTCTCTTTCCTAACATCAAATTGATATTTATTTATGTCTTCCCATACAGAAGGATGGATGTATTAGTTATTGCGTTTGTGGTCTTTGTGAGTCACAGGCAAATGAGGGAGAACTTAAAAGTGAATTTGGTATAATGATACAGCATTATACCAAATTTAAAAACTGATGAATTTATTTGCAGCATCACAAAAAAAGCCATTGAATTATTTAACGTGCTTTAAAAATGTATGTTTCCTGTAAGTCCTTTCATTTGTGTTTAAGTCATTACAAATGCTATATCCATGGCAGCAGCAAGGTCTGATCTCTCCATTCGACAACAAAGGCGTCACAAATACTTCAATTAAATCGAAAGGGAACAGAGGGCAGGTTTGGCAGAATTTATGAGCAGGCCATGGTCGTTACTCATTCCTACAGCTTCATTCCTTTAGGTCACCATGAGATGAAATAAAAGAGACAAACTTTATAACACAAAGGAGATCATTATCATCCGGGGAAAGGCGCAACAGATAAAAATGGACTCAATTTGGTAACCTTTAGGAGTTGCTGAGCTAAATCACACTGTTACTGAAGTCAGGCGAGGCAGAGATTGGGACTGAAACGACCAAAGGCAGAAAACATCAGAAAGAAAGAATAAAAGAGGCTTCTGTGTATTAGATGGAATAAAATAAAAAGACAGAGCTTCAGAGAGAAAGAGGAAAAGCAGAAAAAGAGAAGAGAAAATCTAACCAAACCCTCGCAAAAAATTCAACTGTATTTCCAAAACACACTCCTCTTTGCTGTGAATAACCCATGAAGGTTGCAGCAGTCCAGGGATCATACATAGCAGTGTTTCCCCTACCATTGTCTTGGAGGGGCGCTGCGCCCCGCCAACGGAGCCCTGCACCCCCCCTGAAATTCAAGGTGTTAAAAAAAAAAAAAAAATTATAATTGTTTTATTTTTATTTATATATATAGCACCAAATTGCAACTAATCCATATCTACTGTCACTTTTAATATTGAACATGTGCTCTTTCATTAAATAAACTAAACGCTTTCATTTTAAGTTGTGAGTTTAGTGTTTTTGACCCTAAGAAAAAATATCCCAAACCCCCCCCAAAGCAGTAAACCTAGGGGAAACACTGCATAGTGCGCACACACAAAGCACATGAGGCAACCTCAGAGGACCGCTTTTACTGTCTTTCAACAGAAGTTGTATTGTTTATTCATGATAAATAAACATAAATTACCCAGAGGACCTTAAAATCAAATGCGTATACATAATGTAGTCAGATTGAGCTTCTGATGTCCACAGAATAAACTCACAAAACTTCATACTGGCAGGCAGTGGTGCATAAATTAACAATTTGGCCTTGATTCTAAAATGAGCAACAAATGTGTGCATAACTATGTTTTATGATAGAGACCCCCCAGTTGTGGCTAAGAGAAGACCAACAGCAGCTGGAAATGGCAGAGACTTGCTATGAAATAGTTTGGTTCATTTCAGGGTTTGACCCAGTGATGTATCACATGTCCGCCAAATGGGAGGTTATGTTTTTGGCCCGGTTAGTCTGGCAGCGAGATTACGATAAATCTTTTGGCTACATTTTCATGGAACTTAGTGGAAGCATGTCGCATAGACCAACAAAGAACTCATTACAATTTGGAGGGGATCCAAATGACAGGGCAGACACACAGATCACTTTTCACTTTCATTAACATTGCAAGGGCAAATAATGAAATAATCATAGCGGTAGTTTTGGACAGAGAAAATTCAAATGAACGCCCCTCAAGATATCAGCTATGGTCTGAATTTAACATGTAGCAGGGGAATTGTTAGGGCAGAATACAGTATTCTAACACATGAATGTCTTGTTACCAAGGTTATTGTATCTTACTCACTATACTGTTCACTCATTTTACACCCTTTTAGAGCTGTATTAAGTTACTGCTAATTCATAAAGGAACATCCTACTGCTACATTAAAATTGGTGAAACACTAGGTGGATTGTTGTGAAACAGTCACAGGAAACTCAATCTATTTTATTTTTTTGTGGTTAGCGTATGTTCATCAAATGCACAAGACAGGCCCACTGTTATTTTCTACATTTCTTCATTAGCACCCTGAGAACGGCACTGTGTGCCGGTGAATGGAGGTTCAGAGGCTACAGGCTTCTACAGGTAAACAAGTTTATTGTGCGCTGCTGTGTGGAAAACTACTCGTGCTGCCTGCAGCATGAACTGATGGAAAAGCTGATTATTGACACACTGACTTCTTTATCAAAACAACATGAGTTTGCTATGGCTACTCTTTCCCAAATCATCAGTTGCTCTTCTGTGTATTTCTAGCAAACTAGCTGCTTTAGAATGTTTGCTCATTCCCAAAATGGTGGGACATATAAACCTCATGGGTTGTTGGCAATGTAGCTCAGTGTCTAACATCGTAAGGATAAGTAGCATTAGATGTAGAAATATTACAATACTGACAAGGTTGGTCGCCTTTGTTATTGTTTGTCATATTTGTGCTGGCTAAAAAACTGATGAATAGATATCTGATGAGACACTAATGTGTATGATGTAATACTGTTTTCAACATGTTTCTGATAACATACATTGATATCAGTCTTGTTTAAATCCCCCAATATATCAACCACAGGCAGACAGCACTAGAGAGGAGAGATACCGGAACGCGGACAAAGGCGTAATGATGGATTACAGTATTTTCCAGAGCAATTACACACTGCGTTATAGGTGAGGGAAGAACGTGTCACACACCAACAGAAGACACAAAGAGTGAAATGGACACGGCGGCCGAGTGGAGTGAGAGAGAATAAAGAAAAGTAAGATTAATGGAGTGATTGTTATTAGAGTTGGTTGAGTAGGTGGACAGAGAGGCGGCTATAAATAAGCCTGTGTGACAGCCACAGCCACTCAGGCAGGAAGCAGGCAGCACATCAAACAGGCCTTTGGTCCCTGATACACCCAAACTTTTTGTAAAGTTATGTCTAACACAATTCAAATGTCAGTGTTCAGTTTAATACTTAATGGAGAAAAAAGAGGTACTCGTTTTTGTAAATTGAAGTATTCAATACAGGTGAAGTCACAACACATAATACATTCATTCATTTTAACTTGTTTAACCCTGAGAATGAAAATTCAATTTTTAACTTTGTCACATTGATCAATCTTAAATCTTAAAGCTTGGGTAGAACAAATAAACAACCTAAGGCACAAAATGAAAACATAATCCAAAATCCATTATTATTCTCCAATAGCGAAACCTGTTATTTCATCCTTTTGACAGAAACATCATTTTCAACTTCAGATCTCTCAGGTGTGATCAATAGTTTGTTTGTTTTTTGTTGTGTGTATTCTACCAAACATCATTTCTCCCAAAGAGGCAAGTAGACTTAGCCACATAGTGACATCACTTTGTAACACCAGTGCTCCAACACAATGTATGTGATTTGCTTAGGGGCGGGAAATCTCTAGGCAGTTGGCCAATCACAATAGAGCCAGCCAGCTAACCAATCAGAGCAGACTGGGCTCTGGTTTCAGACAGAGGGTGAAAAGAGGTGCTGCAGCACAGGCAGTGTGAGGAAAATAAAGAGCTTTTTGAACATTAAAGCATATAGATATGTCACAGTAGAGGCACAAAATACAAATATGAACCTGAAAATGAGCAGAATATGTCCTCCTTAAGTTATTGAAAAAAAGGGGAAGAGCAGCACATGTTACAGAGACACAAAAGGAGTGTATAATTGGCATTCTCAACCTGCCGAAAGCTCATTCAATGGTGTATTGTGCTACATAGATAGACTTGTTTACATGTTATTACACATTTGGATTAACAACAAACTCATATATCATGAAATTAAACTTTTTGTCTTCATTTTTACCTGCAGCAGAGGACATAATATTATACCTACATGCTGACAGGTGTAGATTCACTACAGGTCAAGGGCGTACAACAAATACAAACACTTTAGATATCCTTAGACCAAGACATTGTTTGATAACATTCTTGGAACTGCTTGTATAAAACTCAAGTGAGTTGACCCAGAGCAAAGTCCTTGATTCGAGGTTGTTCTAGTAAAACTTTTAAGGACCTTACTTAAAATGCAGAGAAGGTTGCTGGTGGATTTACTGACATATGGGCAAAGTTTAAATTAGCAATACATTTATAAAGAAATTCTGACTTACGTGGGTTTTTCATTGGTGATGAGCACTTTGACCTTGTTGAGGGCCTTCTTGGCGCCTGTGGGGGCAAGGGAGATGGCGGAGGCAGGCTTGGTGTGGGCGGGGCTTGCATGGGGGCTGGCGATGTAGACCTTTTTACCAGCGCTGCCCGGGGGTTTGGAGTGGGAGAAGTCTGTGATAAAGACTATTCCTTCACTGGTCAGCACTGCCAAAAGACAGAAAAAAACCGTATAAAAGCTGCATATGCTGTCACAACTGTCAGTAAAGAGAAATGGTAAAATATATTTATTTCAATTTAAAAGGAAGGCAGCAAAGTCTCTCTCATATGTGTCATCTTAATATAACTTAAATCTAATTCCACCTCCAATTACAAAAAAGTTAACAAAATAAAAAATGTAAACAGCGTATAAACAAAGGCTGAGTCACATTTTTTTTCGACACATTTGTTGATAACTTACATGCCATATTGGAGGGGTCAAAGGGGTCAAATGAGAAGGAGAGGATGTTCTCAGCGTAGCTCTTCTTCCACAGCTTGGTGCCCGTGTCTCCGTTCCACAGCACGATGTAGTTGGGAGGGTGGATGGCCAACAGTAGATCACGAGACGCATCCTGATTCCATAACCACTCCAAGTCTGGCAGAGAAAGAGCAAGAAACAGAGGGGAGAATAAAGAGTAAAGTAAGTGCCAGAACAGAAAGGGCAGAGAATGATGGTAAGAGCTTCTTAATGAAAACAAATAGTCAACAACAGTTCCAAGTTTCTCCTTGGCAGGGCCCCTGGGGTTGATATCCTTCCTCTACAGAACTGAGGGACAAGAAATCATTCCAAGCCTACATGAGAGGAAGAGGGGGGGTTTGTGGAAGGTATCTTACCCTGGATAGGTTTGGAGTGCTCCTGGATCTCACAATGGGCGGTGCCGCTGACCACATCCCACACTATGATCTTCCCCGAGGCGTCTCCTGAGGCCAGCCGCAGACAGTAGGGAGAGCTCTGGTTGTGGTAGTAGTTCTCCCTGGACCATTTCACCTACGTACAAAACACCAGAGATAACATACAGTAAGTTAAAGTAGCAATACTGTGTAAAAATACACAGCTGCAAGGAAAGGTCCTGCATTCAAATTCCTACTCAAGAAAGTACAAAAGTATAAGGATGAACATTTATTTAAAGTAACAAGCGAAAAGGACTCATTATGCAGTATAGCCCATTTCAGAATCGTATATATTACATTATTGGATTATAGTTATTGATGCATTATTGTTTTCATAACTTCAACACTACATTTGGTAAGGGTTGGGTTTATTTGAAATACTTTGAATTCAGTTGGTTAGCTTTACATGTAATAATACATCTTAAAACAGCAATCTCCCTTGGATTTTTTAATCCTTGAATGGCTTTTAATTTTGGTTAATTTTAATGGTATCATTGTTCATGTTTTGTTGTTTTTCTGTATCTTGCTCTGTTAAGCACTTTGCTGCCTGAAAGGTGAAAAAGTAACAAGTAACTAAAAAGTATTCAAGTAAAAAAGTATGTGCATCCAAATGATACTAGAGTTAAAGTATAAACAGCATAAAGTGAAGTACAAGGACTTAATATTTGATCTTAAGTACAGTTATTGAGTAAATAGACTTCCACCACTGCCCAATACAAAACATATGATTCATTTTTGCCAGTTGCTATGGCAGTGTTTCTCAAAGTGGGGGGCGCGCAGAGGCATGACAGGGGGGGCGCGTGAGACCAGTTACGACAAAAAAAAATGGTTATGACGTTGGCAATGACCGGCGGAAGTTACCCTTAGAAACCTTAGAAACCTATGAGGGCGCTGTAGGACACAGGTGTGTAATGTACATGTTGAGGATGGAAGGTCAATAGGCGGCGTCGGGGGGCGCTAGGGGGTGCTGCAGGTCCGCCTAGGATAGCCATAGCACCCCCAAGAAATGTATGTCTTTTTTTTGTATGTCTGAAATTCATCATTTGAAAAATTATTGATTCGAAAACAATATGCTAAAGTACAGTACAAGTATGTCTGGGTCTCTGTGTTTCATTCAAGCTCTGCTCTGTGTGTGTGTGGAATGAGCCATTTTTGTGTGCGTGCACGGGAGAGAGAGAGCGCACCGGTACCAGAGATTGTTGTTGTTAGCATCTGGTGCTAGCTAGCTACGCTAACAGATATAAGGAGCTTTTTCAACAACAAGGTGGAGGGAGAACTCTTGCCTGTCAGACTGAGAGGCTCAGATAACCTCAGCTCAGTGAGGTAAAGGACTCTCAGTGTTTAAATTACCCACTGAGATTAGTTATCTCAGTGGGTCTCAAACGGTTTGGTCACGATTAAAGTAAACAATTATTTCCGAGGCACACGTTTATATGATCATTATAGGTATAAAAAAAAATAAGAGAATAAATGAAAAACAGTTGTGAAATACTATGACAGTAAAACAAGAATACAGTTTAAAAGGAGAGTGATTTGTAAAATATCCATAAAGAAAAAGTAAATCTGTTTACAGTTCTGTTTCATATGGGTGTTGAGAAATGTATCCATAGATCTCTTCATTTAGCTCTCAAAGTGCACCAGATTGATGCATTTAAGTTCAATATTTTAAAGAAAATCTTCCCGGGGGAGCATGCCCCCGGAACCCCCTAGAGGATGTTAGGTCCCCTCCCCACTTGTAAAAATAGTATTTACCCCTGCTTACACCTATATGCCGTGAGCTGATTGTAACAGTCGCGGGTGTACTGTGTACAGTATGTGCGTGGGGGATGTTGCAGTACTCAGTGGAATTCCACAAGGGAGTGTCCTGGGTCCTGCACTGTTTGTCGTCTATATCAACGACCTACCCGATAATGTGAGCTCCATTTTCAGATGTTTGCAGATGATACTAAAGTCTTCAAGGTAATTAAGTGTAAAGAGGATGCAGAAAAACTTCAGTCAGATCTCAGAGAATTGCTGAGGTGGTCCGAGTGTTGGCAGCTCAAATTCAATGCAGCAAAGTGCAAAGTAATGCACTTAAGTTTTCAGAACCCAAAATATGAGTATAATATGGGTGATGATTCAAACACTATAAACCTATCCGAGACTCAGAATGAAAAGGACCTTGGTGTGAATGTTGATAATACCCTGACATTTAGTGACCATATCCGCCGGGAAAGTAACAAAGCGAATGGTATCCTAGCAATGATCCGCAGATCATATACACTTATTTGGACTCTGACGTAGTACGTAGTTTATATATCTCTCTTGTACGGCCACGCCTCGAGTATGGGAATGTCCCTTGGTCCCCCATGTACAAAAAGGATGCTGAGCTCATCGAGAAAATACAGAGAAGAGCAACGAAGCTGGTTCCAGAACTAAAGGACCTACCATATCAAGAACGACTGCAAAGTCTTAAGATCCTGAGTATGTATTATAGAAGGGCGAGGGGAGATATGATCGAAGTTTTCAAATATCTCCACAACATCTACAAAACATCATGCCCACTGGGGATTATAACACCAGGACTCGTGGGATTATAACACCAGGACTCGTGGACACTGCCTCAAGTTGAGGAAACAGTACTCAAGACTGGCTATCCGCCGCAACTTTTTCAGTCTGCTTGTGGTTGACTTGTGGAATGATCTGCCAGAAAGCGTTGTCACATCCAAGACGGTTAACTGTCTCAAGTCCCGCCTCGACCATTACTGGTCAAACATCACCTTCACTTTGGACTATGTGACTGTTGCCAGCATCCATAGTAAATAAAGAACAGTGATCTACTTATTTATGAGCGACTAAAAATCCTCAGGCCTATTACAGCCGTATCCTATTGATTGATTGAGTACAAAATGCCACTGTAGCGACCGGAACATTAATGGGAAACCCTAAATGTTTGAGCACCCGAAACATCAAGCTACCCCACAGCACCCCCAAAAGAAAATCTCTGGCGCTGCCACTGAGCCTGCAACCCCGTTTTGAAGAAATGTGCAGTGCAAACAGGCTCATTGCAGCCACTAATGCTGTGATCATGAGACACACTTTTTTGCCAAATATCAGCATTTTCTTTCTTTTTCTTTTTTTGCACAGATTACAAAGTATTATAACTTATTGTTCTAGCAAAGGGATTGCACAATTGTATTATATATTTTTTTGAGCACAGACTTGTGGAACATTGTTTTATTATCACTGTTCAAGTGATTTTTTTTTGTTTTTTTGAAAGGAATGCTCACGTTAATATTGATGTATTTTAATAAAAGTTAACTTGGCCTATTACGTGACTATTTGTGTTGGGGGGGGCCCGACTTTTTTTTTTTCCAAAGGGGGGCCTGACAGAAAAAGTTTGAGAACCACTGCACTATGGAAATATTGCAAAACTTTTACATTTTACCATTACAAAAAGAAAATGATGACTTTGACTGAAAACAGAGGCAATATTGTCTGTACTGTAAGTCTATCCAGATCAGGTATTGTTCTGTATAAGTGCTTTTACATGTTAACTATGGTGCAAAGCAGGGTTAAGGGAAAGAAAAACGATGCAGTTCCAAAGAACTAACACCATAGAAATGTATGCTAAAAAGACAAATGACTTTGAACAAGTTTGTGTTTAAATAATTGATTATGTATGTGTATTTTTTCCTGAATAGGCATGCTCCGTGCTATGCCAACTCCTTCCTTTTTTCTCCCTTTTATTCTGCAAGCTTTCTTGTGTCGGCTGTGTGGTGAGGAATGGCTCGCTGCTGTGGCTGCAGTGCTTTACAAGATTAAAGTGTGCTTTGCTGTGAGGAATGAGAGTCTCGGATTGAGCCCAGGCACTGATAATCACCACACGATGTATTGCCCATTATTTACCCTTCTACAAAGCACACAAACATAAACCATACACACACATAAGCTGACACAAACACACATACATAGCCCTTCTGTGTATATCTGTTAATACAGAAGCAACCTTTATCAGTGTTGCTTTTTAGCTTACACAGTGAAGCAGCGTTCAGTTCTATTTCGTATATGGCTTCGCCCTCTAAGGCTATCGCTATTGGGTAATCCCCCTGCGCCCCCGCGCAGCACTGAAAACTTGTAGTCCACGCCCACCCGCAAGGTGGGCCCCACCCTCGGGCCTCCTTACGGTATAAATAGGAAGGAGGCCCGGCAATCTGCTCCCTCTTTTCTTCAGCAAACCAGTACAGTTACTGAAGCACAGCAATTGAGAATCATCATGAGCAACAACTGCGTCCGTGATTGTCCCTCATGTGGCTCTGGGTTCATAATGAATTATGACCAGCAGAGATAAAAGCAGTATGCGAATCCTGCCTGGGGTCAGAGCACACGTATACGCGGCTCTAAACCAGCAGGTAGCATGCACACACTGCGCCCGTCTCCCCTCGGGCGACAGGAAGCGGAGAGCGGACGCTCTTGCTGCTGCGGCCGAGGAGGATGATTGACCCGTCCAGGCTTACGAACCGCGGACGGGGCCTCGTGTCCCTGGGGCCGAGTGCCGGGCAGGAGTCCGAAGAAAAGCAACTCCTGCCCCGCCTCCCTCCACGGTTCACCGTTCGGTTCTCCCCTCCCTCCTCTCCCCCGGACGGGGGAGACCGAGTCGGAGCAGGGTGCCAGCTTGGCGGCCGAACATGCTTTCCCCCTCTCCGTCACCACAGCGGCGAAATAAAATCGCGCTGCTCTCCAACTCGGTGGTGACACTGGTAGAGCGGTGCACTACCGAGGCAGAGGAAATCAGCAAGGCGGCCAGCACGGCGCTCATTCTGTGCGGGTCCGTTGCTGTCTCCCAGGCGAGGATTTCCGTGTGGGTGACACAGATCCAGCGCCACCTCTGGCGGAAGCAGGCGTCTGTTACGGACACGGCCAGAAAAGTGCTACTGGACTCTCCAATCAGCCCGGACGGGCTGTTCGGACCCCAGTTCCATGCCATGGTGGAGTCCATGAAGACGGCCGCAGAACCGGCGGACGGCATTCACCAGCATGTACAGCTGGCTCCAGCCTGCTGAGCGCCCATAGCGGCACCAACGCTCGCAGCAGCTGCGGCGTCCACGCCGGCCACAG